AGGGGGGGGTCAGATAACGTAGATCAATACATGTAGTACGTTCTGATGGTCATAGTCGGGGGGTCAGATTGCTGAGGCTCCATGATAGTGTGTTGGAGCCTTGTAGGAAGTGATTTCAGATTACGCACAGTGTGGTCAAGTTAAATTAAATGTGATCAGATTACATAATGATACTGTGGTCAGGTTACGTACATAATGAGGTCGGATTACGTACGTAATGGGGTCAAGTTACGTAACAGTGTGGTCAGGTTGTATTATAATAAATTATTATAATTACTATTATATCATACTTTAAATATTTCGATCCACGGTCTTCATTCTTTCCAAGTACCCTCTTTAGATACGTCGTTTGCAGTTAAGAATAAATCGAGACGTAGTTAAAAATCTGTCACGCTTAGTAATTTGCATGATCCCATTAATATTGTAGATAAACCAAGACATAATATCTTCTCATCGGTCGCCTAGGTCCTGGAGGTGTCATCTCTCACTCAGAGGTCGGCGTGCAATGACCCGCCAGCGTTTACGGTCGCTTGCTGTTACAAAACATGGGTCTCTACATCTTTCTTTCCACTCCTTACAGAAAAGGATGTCGGTAAAGGGATGTGACCGTCCACAAAAAGAAAAAAATGCAATAGTTGAGTTTATACATCATATCTCCACTTCTTAGACAACGAGGAGATTGGTCTTATAGACTACAGCAGCACCATGGATGGCTGGTGCCTCTATAAATAAATTATTGATGGTCGAGGTCGAGGTTGCTGCCATTATGTTGAGAACCATTGGTACGGAGTGCATGGAAGCAGAACCAATAAATTGGAAAAAAAAGAACATTAATTGGTAGACAGGAAAAAGAGACTAAAACAGCAACTGGACATGGCTGGCTGGTGCCTCTATAAATAAACATTGGTGGTCAAGGTGAAGGTTGCTGCCGTTATACACTCTGACATGCCGGATAGGCCTGCCCACTGTCCATGCTTTCATGTTATCCGCCCACGTTACTCTGTGTCCATCTTTGGTCCCTTTACCTCACACCCTACCTTATGCGGGGTGCCCACCACGCCCGACTCGGTCGCCTCAAAAACAAAACGTGTTTGTTTTCTGTTTCAGGCGATCGAGTCGGGCGATCGGCCCAATCCAGCCGTAGTGGGCACCCCGTATTAGGCGAATATTAATTCCTTTTGGTGACGTTTTTGTGACCAAATATCAATCTTTTCATCATTTTCACTGATTTGTTTTATGAATCTTTTCCTCATTTTGCGTCCGTGCGATCTTCAACTGATTCCAAAAAGAAAAAAAAAGGCCTCTTGTACACTTTTTGCTGTTCAGGCCATACAAGGTGTGATCTGTGAGAAACACGTGCGGTGAGAACAGTAGCCAGTCTATGACATTCATGCCTTGGTCTTCCAGAAACTGTGTTGTTACACGGGCAGTGTGGTTAGGGCGGATGCTGTCGTGTCGGAAGAGCACGAGATTTTGATTCGTCTGCCTGAATAGTCGGAACATTGACGCATTGGGATCCTTTCGTGCTGTTTTGCACAATAAAGACGGCGTTTTCTTTTTTTTTATTTTAAATGTTGGTATTATACGGCACTTGCAACTGCATATTAAGGTCGTATGAGCGCGCGGGACACATTAGACTTTTTTTTTTTAGTTGGTAGGAAATTTTGAATTTTGCCCGGGCGGCGGCCGAAGCCTACTCTTATCGATTTTAGACCATTAAGGGATCTTTAACATGGGCAACTTGCACACGGGCCCTCTGAGATTTTTCGCCCTTGTCCGAGACGGCTAGGTGTAGATCTTTCCTACCTTAAGATCAGGGGTGTGGCTGAAAGACAGCAGTAAGAAGGCGCTAAGGAGTAGCAGTAGAAAGGCTGCGGAAAGAGTCAGGAGCCCAGAGGTGGTGAGGGTGTGAGGGCAGAAAGAGAGGACGAAAGCAGACGACAGAACATTGTAGGAAAGGAGGTGAAAGGAGACAATTTTAGAGAAGCTGAGAATGTTTCGGAGTGTTCTATGGTCTGCTGGGGTAATAATATAGTGTAAAGCGCATAGAGTTTGCTTTCGAGTGGGGACATGCGCTATAAAAATGCTATTTATTTATTTTTATTTTTATTTTTAGTATCGTCTGACTGCAGGTGTCAAAGAACTTCCTTGATGTCTTTCTCAACTTTTGTTATTGTTTCGTTACTTATGAGTTCTCTAAGGGTTTTTGAATTATTTTTTTTTGCATTATTGTTTTCACTAGACTGTGGTCTCTGTGTATACACACAGAGTGACATATAGACAGACAGACAGAGAGACAGACATACGTACATACAGTCAGACAGACATACATTCATACAGACAGACGGACAGTTTGGTCGTGGATGGGGCGTATCTGTCAAGTTGGATACCTGTCTGTCTTTTTTTGTTTTAGGAGTTTTTACGGTGCTCACAACTGCATAAGGGCATTTGAGAGCCAAGGGGTGGATGTCAAAGGAGAAGTCCTTACAGGGAATCAGGCCTACTCTGCTCACCTCTCTAGCTTCAACAGCACAAAGTCAAAGTCTGCTTCGGCTATCAATGCACCCCAGAAATAGCGGGTCTCAAGAGTTTGACAATCATACAAAAGAAGTAGAGGAACAATGACGATAGTAAGGATTGGGAAAGAAAAAGCAGCAGGTCCCTGTTGCAGTTCAGACACTGTTATTAGCGTGACATTGATGAAATAGCCTATTTACTACTACAATTCTACGGTGCACAAGAACTCGAGAGGTTAATGTCCCCCCATCCTTTGGGAATGGCCTAAAGATACTTCAGTCTGTAGCACCGCCGGGGGGTTTGTCCGTCTTTATATTTAAATTTATAAACATGTGCGTATAAACATTATGAAAATAAATGTGTGTGTGTGTGTGTGTGTGTGTGTGTGTGTGTGTGTGTGTGTGTGTGTGCGTGTGTGGGTGGGTGCGGTTGTGCGTGCGTGCATGTGTGTTTATGTGAGAGAAAACAAAATTTCCCAGAAACAGTAACTGTTGTTTTGTTTTTTTCCACAGGTCACTAATCGACGAATAAACATAACCACACCCTTACCATTCTACTGGCGACCTCGCACACACAGGACCAATATGGAAGAAGACTCAAAGCCTTTTGAGAAACAGTCTGAAGAGACCTTGGGTCTGGCTACGCTAGCCATTCACAGCGGTCAAGACGCGGATAACTGGAAGTCCAGAGCGTTAGTGACCCCTATCGTGACCTCCAACAGTTTCAAACACGACGTCTATGCTGAGGGGGAGGTGAGTCATGAAGTTTTAACCCCCCCTCCAAAAAAAAAAAACCAACAAAAAAACCAACAAACAAGCAACCAAAACAAAACAAACAGACAAACAAAAAAGAAACAAAAAACCAACAACAAACAACAACAAACAAAACAAAAGCAAACAAACCCAAAACAAACACAGAAACAAACTGGGGTACCTTGATAGTCGAAGCAGACCTTGTACTGTTAAAGCTTGAGAGGTGAGCAGAGTAAGTCTGATTCCCTGTAAGGACTTCTCTTTTGACATCCACCCCTTGGCGCTCATATGACCTTATGAAGTTGCGAGTGCCGTAAAACCTCTACAAAAAACAACAACTAAAAAATAGTCGGCTCACGCATCACCCTATGCTTCCAACATAAATGAATACCAAAGTGGCGTCGGTGGCCTAGTGCTTAGGCTCTCGGAGTCACAACCGTAAGGTCGTGGGTTCGAATCTCGTCAGGGGCCCGATGTTGTGTCCTTGGCCTCACTTTACCCAGGTGGAAATGGATACTCGGCTATAGATAGTGTACGATCTTGTCAGTTTGATAGTGTTTGAGCGGGTGAAATCTGCAGCTTGCACTGTATGCTTCCGAAGAAGCTGAGAATGTTTCTGAGTGTTCTCAGAGGATCTGCTGCGGTAATAATAGTTGTAAAGCGCATATAGCATGCTCTTGAGCATGGATATGCGCTATATAAATGCATTTATTATTATTACCATTATTATTATTATTATTATTATTATTATTTTATTATTAAAAGTGCTGGTGACTGAGCAGTGAGTACAATGTATTAAAGAGTTCCTTGTTTTTTTTATATAAAGGAAAGAAACAAAAATTCCACTATTGTTTAAAGCTACAATTTTGGGCAGGTTGATAAAGTGACGCTTTTTTAAGTGCTTTCAACAGTATTATATTATTGCCTGTTACTCCCCAGTTTCGAGGCGACTTTGAAAGTGAACCACGTGACCAAAGCCGCCATGCTGGTGCGCCACGACCAGACGAGCTCTCTCACAGTGAACCTGAAGCTGGTCAAAGGTCAACAGCTCAGAGTGGAGGCCACTTCCGCTTCTGGAGCTTCCGTCCGGACTGAAAGGTTCAGCTCTTTCTCCGGGACCTTGCTCAACTGAGTGGGCCCAGGAGTGTGTTCCGCGAGATAGTTAGCTCTTCTTCTATTGCAGATACATTATAGAAAGCGAACGTCCTCGAAAGCCGATGATAACATTTTATAATTAATCAATGAGCGTTTGATACTGAATTGTTTTAAAGGAGATGATGTTTTCTGTGTACTTAGAAAGATGAGGCAATGAAGGTAATAAATTTCAGAAAGGAAACACTTTTATCTGAAGAAGTCAATTTCATGAAATAAAACCAAAGTTTAT